AAATACCAACAATCCTATTCGTTTTGGGAGAGTTTGTTAAAAATTAATTTGAGCAATAAAATTGTTAATAACAGTATAAATTTGTTAATATTTTCTATACAAACCTTTAAAGATTCGGAACAATGAATTTATGAAAACGAGTCTCCAAGCCAAAAAACTTGCTATTTTCAAATNTACCTAGTGTAGATGAGTTCTAACAACTTTGAATCGATGGCTTAAAAAATTGCTGATTTATTTTTTTTGTTTAAGAAACAAATTAAATTTTTGGACTGAAAGGAAACAAAGCTAATAAAAAAGAAATGTATTGTTATATGTGAATTTAGCGAAAACTGCGTTTGTTTTACAAAACTCTGTACAAAGCGTGCACTGGGATAATGATCAAGCAACTGTGCATCCATTCTCAATTTGCTATGAAGACGAAAAGGATAATTGAATGTCAAAAGTTGTGTTTGCAGTACTAAATGCTTGCATCATAATACAGTTGCTGTTTATCTTTTTCTTTTTTACTTGGGCAACAAAAGCCTTGCAAAGCCTAATGTGTCCTTATTTAACTAATGTTGAGTATGATAAAAGAAAGAACAAATAGTGTCAGAACAATTTTACAAAGCTTTAACAATAAAAGGCACTTTACAATTCCATTGCATGATACCGATCTCTCTTCAGAGAATAGAAGCAAAAGCATTTTCATTTAATGATAAAACAACGATCGTAAAGATCTTTAAATAGACATTAAGTTAATTTTAAGTCACATTTAAAAATAGAAACAAATATATATATATATATATTGTTTTTCCTTACTAACATGTGATTATTTTGATAACTGCCAATGTTATTAACAAAAATGGTGTAGGATTATAACGAGAGGCGTGCAAAGGTGCCCGCTGACCGATACAACATTCCACGCTCTATAAATTAATGTATCTCTCCAGGTAATAATAATTTTTCCATTAATTAAACACTTACAGAAAATTTAATGAAGAATACGATGGTTGTATTAAATAATCGCTAAATTTTGGGGGCCATAGATGAAAATTGGTTTGAAAATTTAAATTGTTAATAACAGTATAAATTTGTTAATATTTTCTATACAAACCTTTAAAGATTCGGAACAATGAATTTATGAAAACGAGTCTCCAAGCCAAAAAACTTGCTATTTTCAAATGTTCCATTACTTGCATTATCGAAAATTTAATTTAATTTTCATGAAAATCCTTTCGGTTAATAACAGAATTAACCATTTATTAAGATCAACAGACTAACTTATTTCAACTTTCATAAACCTGACTGTATTTGAGAGTGAAAAAAGACTAAATAAGACAAAGTAAAGCTTAAAGTTAGAGATCCAAGTCACAAGAAAAGAAAAAAATATCAAATACAGGAAATAAAGAAGAAACTAGAAATAGCACACTTTAGTAGTGCTGTATAACGTAAAGTGAAAAATAATGTAAAAAGTAATGAAATAACGAATATGAGACATTAAAGATAGAAAAAAAAAAGCACAGAAGCCATGAAACAAATGAACCAACTTAAACATGTTCTTGCTATTCAAGATGTTAATAGAGCAAGAATGTACAAATAGACAGTTAACGAGTCGAAATTTTAACTTAAAGAAATTTTGCAATTGAAAAATACACCAGATAGTTAGAGTGTCTGAAAGAAAAAGAAGCAAAATAATGAAAAAAAAACATAGTGATTAAAAGTATGCAATATTGTAAGATAAAAGTAATAACGAATGTGGAATTCTGACTTTAAAAAACTTAAAAGTAACAATGACATAAAAAATTTAATGTGAACTTATGACTGGTATTAGAAGTAATTTTTGTTGCGTATGTGTCGTCATACAAATATGCTCATATATAGATAAAGCTATTGTTCAAAATACCGTAAGCCCATCCATGTCATTTTTTAATAACAAATATCAATTTTATTAAATTGAATTTGAAAAAGTCAAAAGTTATACGTTTGATTAAATGTCAAATTATTCTCTAGAATAAACAAAAAAGTTTCAGGTGTGGATCAAACATACAATCCCTCGCTCACTAGACAGTTGCTCTACCAGTTGAGCTACCAAAAGGCCGCACATTCGCACTCATCGTAAGTTTTGATACTTTTGGGCTAAGGGTGCTTTAACCAATTCGTTTATCTATATATGTACCAATTGATTTATATATAAACCAATTGATTTGATAATACATATCTTTCAAAAAATTGTTTGTTACGCCAGTACTAAAGTTACACCAAACTTCCAATATACAATTTATCGGCAAGCGGGAAATTTTTTTCTCATTATACCTTAAGATGTTACAGTCATTTTAGCAAAACAGGTCATCAAGAAGAAAAACAGAGAAGACGAGGGCGTAGTTGTAAAGATACTAAAAAAAAAAAAAAATCCTTATAAAAAAAGAGGGTGATCTAGAAAAGAGGATTCATAAATATTAATATGACAGCTGAATAGGAAAATCTAGAAAAAAGGTGGTCTAATTTACCAGGAAGAAGCAAGACAAAGGTACATTTATAAGAATTGAATAAAAAAAGTTCCATGTCAACGATCTATATTAGAAGTAGGTTTGCAAGACCAACGATTCTATCTTGACATAACACGAATGAAATGAAACAAAGGACTCATTCTAACCAAGCACAGAGGATTAATACCAAGCAAGAAATGTTAGATGTTTTAATATTATTAAAAATGAAAAAAGTATATAAAACTTCAAGACACAAAAAATTTAAATTAAATGTTATTAGCACTGAAAAAGTTGTGGTTGTAAAATTTAAATAAATTTATGCCATTTCTTTGTTCAAACTGAAGAATTTTTTAAATTACAAAGTAATATACTGGTAGCGCCGTCAATATATACTACTGCTTGCCTCCTGAGAATAGAGTGACAGTTTTAATGATATTGCTTTTGTCTATAATTTATGAGTTTGTACTATATTAGTCATTGCACTCATTTCATTTTGTTGCAGTAATTGCTATAGTTTGAGCATTTGTGTTGGCAAGTAATTGGTGTAAGGTAACTACTATATCGTTCAAGATTGGGTTGCTTGGCAATACGCTGTTGTCTTGTAAATACTGTAACAAAAGGTTTGTGGCTAGGTCACTGATCGTTGTGTGTAACTCTTGTAATTGTCTCTGACACAGTTCTTGTGCTTAAAAAGGAAAAACCCATGACGCTCTATCAATTAATAAATGTCCAGTGGTAATGAAAATCCAAGCCTTTTTAAGTTTATCATGTCACTTCACGACTCAGGTGATGGGGTCAATTAACCAGTAAAGGTCATAAGAGAGATATAAGATAATGTTGTAGAAATAATAGAGGTATTTACATATTGAGGGTGAATGTCGACTAAATTGAATCAGTTGGTATGAAAATAAACAACTAGTAGCGTGGATCCAAGTATTTGAACAAAGAAATTTAACTTCCAACACATGGTTCCCCTGCTTCTGGTAACAGTTTTGAGCCTTCTTATTCACTATGGAAGTTATCAGAAAATCAGAACATGATAAGAGAAAGTAATGAATAATCTTAACACAATACTGTTTGATGTATCTGAAGACTTGGCTAAAAATAGTGCTAAGGAATAAGCTAAAATGATTTTTTGGTCCCTTCAAATATCAACTCAAGTGAAGGCCAGCAATGTGTATAGAATTGATAAACCGTCAAATACCAAAGTTAGACCAGTCGTGGTGAATATGAACACTAGATCAGATATAAATTTTATTTTTGTAAAAAATGAAAACTGTGTTTATAACAAGCTAGCAATAGATAAGCTTGTTTCTGCTGATGTTTACCTTTCTCCAGCTTGCTTTAAAGTTTCCTTATGTATATAAATGCCTCTATACTGATATTGAATCTGTATACTGTGTCTTTGGCTTGGCTGATATTCAGGGTTGAGTTCATTCAGGATGTAGACAGGACTTTAATACTGAGTGATGGTGATCTTGATGAAATTGTATCTAAAGTTTACAAAGTAATAAATAAAGTTATTGACTTTAAAGTGCCAAAAAATGTATTTGAGTCTGACACGTTATCTGTTTGGTACTCGACAGATTTGAAGCGTCTTATAAAGTGACGTTATTAAAGAAAAGCGTATTAGAACTGAGTGTATTAGGCTTCCGTATAAAGGTTATAATATGTATGTAAATGAATGCAATAAGATATTAATCAAAACACAAAATGCTTGTGGATATGTATTAATAATCATTAAGATAATTACAGGTTATCTGTGACAATTAATTATAGAAGACACACTGCCACGGCTCTAGTTAATAAGGGTAATTTTTTTTTTAATTATTCTGATTCAATTTACCACGGTAAAACTAATGGTTCGTCTTCTGCAGACTATAATGCCTCGCAGGAGTTGGGATAGTTTGGTTCCTTGTCATTGACGATTGATGATATTCACAAGTTAATAAATGCTCTAAAAGTTAATGGCATTATGAGCCCAGATCTTTCTCCACTTTTTTGGATTGTCGTAGCAAATACTTTTTTTATTACCAGTATGATTTTAGTCTAAGACGATTTTGTCTTTTATCAGTAAAGTAGCAATTTGCATGAACATTTTCAGGCACCAGGGTAAATTATATTATAAAGATGCCTAAATTATTTTCTTTAAAATTAAGTTAGACTTATTTCCATGCAAAGCTTACTGTACAAAGGCAATGCAGTTTTCTGAAATTATTTCAGAGTACATTCTTTAATAATTAAATTAAAATAATAATTTTAATGTATTTGTAGGTAATAATCTGTTTTGATACACATTTTTAAAGAAGAAATTAATATCAACAACATGTTTTATTTATTATTTAAATTTTGTTACAGATAAAAACTTGTGTAAGCAGACTAAAAAATTTTTAATTCAAGTAAATAAAAAGACGCAGAGAAAACTGTTCTGCAATTTAAATTTAGTAATAAAATTTTGAAATTACTTATGTGCCTTACATAATTATTTAGATTAGTTAAATTAATAAGAAATACTTATGATTATATGTGCCTTACCTTAAAGTTTTGCTCATTCCAATAATTGTAACTTTTTGATGAATATGGAAAAATTCTATCCGACATAATTTCTAGAACTGTTTCAGTTATAATTTTTGTTGACGAAAAATATCTTTTGTACAGCCAAGTACCATGTTCCTGATATTCCTTGATTTTCTGTGGTGAATTACTATTAAGAATATTAATAAGAGACAAAAACTTGTCCTCCTTGATAAATACTGCAGCTCTGCAATAAGAATCATTTCATCCTAAAAATACGTTTTTATGTATGAGAGCAACTATGAATAAATATGACTGAAAACTTTGAGGGTAAAAAATGTAATAAACTAGATTCATTACATGAATAGCTCTTCCTCGAATTGAGAGAAATGTATTCTTTATTCTCACTATCTGAGCCCAATTAAATATATTCTTACACAAATTTACAATCCACCTTGAGACCTCTAAAAGTATCGTAATACTAAGGGTCACTTTTACCCGTCACATCCTTTGCAATTTATTGTATCCTTTTTCATCAGGTTTTTTAAATAAAATTAGAAATATCTATCAGGTATAACATGATACAAGTACAGGCTATAGAAAACTGAAAAACAAAGACGAGAACTGTATGATAACAATCAGTACAAAAAAAACAAACAAACAAAACAAATATAGTTTGTGTTCGCAATATATAATACGATAAGGTTATATTTAACATCAGAATGATTTTTATTCTGTCAATAATTCCCATCGGCGAGTTCGGATAGGCAACTTATTAAACAAATCTTCTCAACTTAGTTTGTAGAACCAATTTTACTTCATTTTCCCAGAAAGAAGCGGATCCAGGTTTAAGACCTGCTCGAAGTGGCAATTTTTTTCATTGCTGCGTGTAAAAAGTTTTCAATACACCAAATACTAAGCAACAAAAATATGTTGCAACGTCTACTTGACTTTGATGAATGTTGACAAAACCAAAATAATATGCATAAAACTACGAAATAGAGTAAATAATAGCTATTTATGAGATTATCTGGGCAGAAGACAACAAATTACATTTTAATGAATTTTTACAAAATTATTTTCACAGCAACACTGAAAAGTTTTTATTATAATCCAGAAGAAAATATTTAAAAAAACTAAAGCAATTTTTATAGTCAATACTTTTATTCATAGGATAAGTATTATATTGTAAGTGTATTATAGTATTATAAGTAAACTAATTTTTAATAACATGAAAATCTTGTTCCTGTAATTGTGTACGTTTATTACCTGGGGTATGAATTCTTTTGGTATTTGTCAGCTGCATTAGTACTTATTTTTATGTTACTAGGTCATATCACGGATGTTTATTATGTGGCAGAGATGTGGTGATGAGAAACTTTCATGTACAATTTCGTTGGGTTGAAACAACGAAAAGTCCAAGAAAATTTTTCTTTATTTGGCGGGGGGATTGTGGGAGCAGTCAAAGGTATACAAGGAGCCATGAGAAGAAGTTTGAAATATCCTACCCAAATCACAACATAATAAAGAAATATATTTAAATACTAGAGAAGCTCTACCTGTGGGCTTTATGCACCAACCCTTAATAAATAGATTATGACCTTAAATTATTTACAATTTTTTAAATAAGTCCTTTTTTTGGTGTTCGATTGACATAATTATAATTCACTAACGTACGGAAACCTTGCCGAAAAATAAAAAAAAAAACCTACGTTAGTAGGAAACTCAAGTACATGCGACGGTTTGTTGAATAATACACAATTACAAATTCCAAAAGTAATGAAGATTCATATAGTAAAAATCATAACTAACGGAAATGTGTTATATGATATTTTTATACCAAAAACTACTTTAAATACAGATAATTCATCATTCTTACCTTTAATACTGTAGATAAAGTAATTTCTTATTGTTTTAGCATTTGCTGTGATAATTTATAAATCGCAAGGCCAAAGTTTTGACAGCGTTAGTTTGTGTTTGGAAGAACTTTGATTTTCTCACGGACAATTTTATGTATTTATATCGCGATTCAAAACTAAATGTGGTATACATATATGAATAGAAGGTGATAATAATCATGGAACAGAAAATGTTGCGTGGAAAAACATTTAAATTGAAAAGTAAGTGAAAAATATTTACCATAAATAAATGTTTCGTTCGTAAATCGTTTAACAAATTTATCATCAAAAGATACAATAACTAAAATAAAATCATTCTTGTTGTTCAATTAAAATTAAGGTTCAGGAAAGTAAAATTTCTTCGTGGTTCTGTACGGCTACTGGTAACGACTGACACTATAAAATTGATCTATTTGTCTCATGTACAGTGCGAAAATACTTGATGGCATTTTGGCAGGGGTGAAGGCTATAGGGAGCGTGGGAGATTACAAACTATAAGGCCAATTAAAATAAAAGAGAAAACAAACAAATATTTTTTTCTATTTTGTGGGGGGATGTGAGGCGACTGTAGAGGGATATTTGGGGTATTGAGGGAGGCAGTGGGGGAAATTGTGGTAAGCCCTACATTAATCACTACACAACATAGTAAGTTATGACAAAGAATTATAAACAACAGTAAAAGGCTAGTGCGTAACTGTGACCATAGTGGTTGAATTGGCATGAATATTAGATCAAACGTTTTCCCAAGCATGCTGCTTATATCGGACTTTCCTCGAAGAAATGAGTCAAAGTAGAAGAGAGAAGAGTCAGTAAGGTAGGATTTTTTTTGTTTATTAGCTAATTAAAAGTCTTGAAAGTTTATGTCAAACTACTAAACTTAAAAAAGTTTTTAAAAATATTATTGTGTTATTTATAGTTTGTACATGATTGAATGATGATGATACAAACTTTTTATATGATCGTAATTTAATCTGAAAGTGTAATTTTTTAAAGAATAGTAACAACAGATACGAAATGTTAACTTGTTCTTTTTATGGTCATCTATGCGTTTGGTAAGGTACCGTCAGGTTTTATTTAACGTTTGTTTATTATTAGCATAACAAACATAAAAAAGAACAGACACTTAAAGTAACAGTTTAGACAATGTGATTAAATTGGTGCTGCGAAATGGCCATCTTTTTGAAAATTAGTCAGGCCAGTGCACTTTCTGACCGTCCATTGACAATCAGTGACAAAAAGTAGTTTTCTGTTGCAAAATAACGATAATTCGTATTTTGGACCGGTCAACTTGACCAACGCCATGGTCGGTAAATCATCTCTTCGCAACTATATAGATAAGAAGGTTATTTTTGTCTTAGAGTCATGATATTTAATAAAAGACTAAATTACAATTTAAAAGATACATATTTGTTTTTAAGCTTTTATTACGTACATAGAAAGAACATCAGAATCTTAAACTTTGAAAATGAAAATTGCTATGTGTAATAGTAATTTAGATACCCAGATTTCATGTTTCTTTTATCATCATCCTTAGTTGAGATTTTTAATACTTACCGTTAGTTGTAATATGGTGTGTGTACGATTTATGCGACATATTGATTTAAGTATAACTTATAAACAAATTAATTTTTCAAACAAATTTAAAGTCTTTATCTTTCGATTGTCCGACAAATTTTGTTTTTTCAACCTTTACATCTTTCTTTTCGTTTCTCTTCATAAATTTTTCCCATTCTTTTTGTCGTCGTTTATTGTCTGCTTCTTCTTTACTCTGGCTGTTGCTTCAACTCTTATCCATGATGGTGAAAATAAACTGGTGCTAGCAAACCCATACATCGGCTTATGTATTACCTTACGCGAACTTTTCGACATCCCCACTCATTGGACCATGCTGAACGATACAATCATACAAAACTAAGCAAAAAGCTAATGTATTAGCAGGAAAATTGGTATGCGACTCAAACTTTAGCCTCACATCTACAGGAGCATTTTTTAATATTTCGTTTTATTTGGAACAATCAAGGACGATTAAAGATATTCGAATGAGAAAGTGATGTTTGCCTAATGAAGGCGCGCATTCTTTAACATAATATAAATTTTGAAAATTAGCGTACATATTATATAGTAATGCATACTGATAACGCGCTATATTAAGATTAAGATCTCTATAAGGATATAATTGTGAGTTTAAAGAGAGTTTCACATTTCCTATGTTGCAGTGATAAAACATACTAGCGCTTACATCTTTCTTCGAATTTTATGAGAATCTGACATTACCACCTAGGGCATAAGCCACTCAAACGTTAATATTAATATATCAAAGTCTTTCCAAGTTTCTACGGCCACGAGATCAGCAGCATTGGCATTAACTGGAGCTTGCAACAGGACACTTATATTAATTTTTGCTCTTGTAAGTATAACCTCATACTTTACAGTAACAACTATCGTACGATAGTCTTCAGCAAACCTTAAAATCATATTTAATGGAAGCATGATGTCAAAATATAAATTATTATTAGTAAGATCATCATCTTCTTCGCCAATACCAAGCCAACCTAAATTTATCACAGATTTTTGATCAAGACGAAGCGATAACCAATTTTTCATGAGGGTTTTTAATCCAACATTTTTGCAGTTGTTCACCTCTAAAGCAATTATCTCATATCTTATTTCTTCAAAAAAGTGGCAAATGGCATCGTTTATCAATGCAGTATTTGTTACTGCTGTATTTTAATCTGCTTTGATGAATCTTCCATGAACATGTAAGAAACTTCTGGATGGTAAAAGACACAAATCTTCATGTTGAATTGAAATACGAACTCCATTACTGTTTCTCCATGTTAACGATGCATACGGCTCATGAGCATGAATCTCATAGTGCGCAGAAGATTTATCAAATGCGACTGGAGACTGAATACTAAGAATCTCGTCCATTTTGTATACAACGAAAAGATATCTAATTTATTTTCCACCAGGATTTCTTATTATTAGACCGATACTTTCTATAAAATGTGTGTCAAGTTAGTTTTTGACGTGTTAGATGTTTTCTTAGGTGTCTCGATACTTTGATAAACTGTTTTCTCCTATGTCTCAACGCTTTGAAAGATCGTTGTTGACTGAAAGCTGGAGTGCATATTGAGCTGCACGGTTATGACTTCTTTACGAAAATGAACTAAATCCTTGTCTTGAACTACTATACGCAGCTGTAGATGATCAATGAAACGCCTAATAATTAGTAAAAAAATTAATGGTGAAGGAACTTCAATAATTTTATATTCAGGTGGTACAGCCGGGAAAAATTCATGAATCCAGTGCACTTTATTGCTATTTGTGTCAGCTCCACTCGTAATGATACATTTAACTCTTAATGCGTTTATCGTTAGAATAGCTACAGGTAAATCTCAAATATGGGTAATTCTTTTACAAATCGAACGGATTTTGATGATAATTAATCGACACCTCTTCGATTTGGCTGAAACTTTTTTTACGGATTCTATGTCGAAAAAAAAAGAGATGCGTGTCAGAGGAATTTTGTTTTCTTTGCATATTTTCGATAATAGAAGTGATCGAACATTTGAGAATGGCAAGTTTTTTGGCTCGGAGACTTATTTTCTTAAATTCATAGTTCCGAATCTTTAAGAGCTACAAAATTATCACCAATTGCACTTTTGTAGCTGACGGATGAAACTTTAAGAAAAAAATTTTTTTTACAAAAAATACTAACAAATTTATATTGTTATTAACAATTTAATTGTTAAAACCGATTTTTAACAAACGCCCCCAAAAAGAATCAAGTTTTTAGTAGTTTCATCGCATTCTCTGTCAAATTTTACGTCAAAAACATGTTTTTAAAATATGGTACCATTCCAATTATTATTGTTAAAATATTAATTTATGTAGCGCGTCACGGCCAAAAAAACGACTTTTTGTTAATAAATTGAAATCTGTTCATCGTATAAAAAAAAGTTAAATGTAAAAGTTGTAGATAATTGACAGATCTACAACTTTTGTAAAAAATTTTTTTTGACATAACCTCAAAATTTCAAATTAAATTGCAAAAAATGTAAAAAATCAGCTTTGTAATAATTATTTTTTGGCAATTTGTATAGAAAATAATTTATGTGTAATTTATTTTGAATCAAATCTCCTGACATGTTAGAAAACCTATCTTGATTGAAAACAAAATTATTATCAAGCTTTGAAAAAAAAATCTATCCAGTGCGTTTGAAACAAATAATATATCCAGCGCGTCAAGTAATATCGCCCTGTTTGTTGTATTAGCCACCACTGCCATGAAAGACTTTGATAAATAATAATCGATGATAAAAAAATATTTTAGTAAATTAAAAAAACCACGTAATAAAAAATAATGTAATACTTCTTAATATATAATATGTACTTTATTGAAATAACGACATTTATATAGTAAAATTAGCACTCTCCTTGACAGTTTAATAGTATATTTTACTTGAAAATTTTCACAACATTTTTTTTTTCATGCAATGAAAATATCTTAGCTTCTAATTCTTGACAAGATATTGGAATCATGCAATGATATTTTAGGGTTCCCTTTATTGTTTTAGCTATTGTAAATCGTTCTGATAGTAATTTTCTTTCTTCTTCGTGCTCATCATTTGTAGAAGAGCGACAAGTAATGTTTGGCAGTGATTCTGTCGCCCAATTGAATAGTTCTCGTGGCGTTCGAATGGGATTGTTTATCCTCCGAAGACTCGCTCTGGAGGCTAGTCGTTTTAAAGTTCCACCTATCCCGTCACAGGGTCCTTTACCATGTGAAGTGGGAAAAAAATGCCACTCTGCAGCTATTTTGAAGTCTTCCATGTGATACGTAAGATTAATAAAGTTCTTCCAATTTTTATATTGTCCACTTGCTCCATCGGACATATATATTATTTTTTGTACACCTGGCAAATTACTTTTGATGAATTCAATCAGTTGTCTTTGGTAGAGATGAACGGCAACAGTATCATGATTTAAGCATTCAGAAATGCAAACAAAACTTATTATTTTTGATTCTTCTCGATCATTTTTATAAAAAATTGAGAATGGGTGTACAGTGGCTTGGTCGTTATTCCAGTGTATACCCTGAATAGAATTTTGAATTATGAAGGCATAATTTTCTGAAAAATCGCAAATTACGATGCACTTATTTTTCATTAGTTTACTTTTTTTGTCATTCAAAAAATCCCTTTGTTGACTAACTATAAATGAATGGACCAATAGTTTTTCCAAGCCGTTACTTAACATTTGCAAAAATTTATCTACTGGCGATATGAGGGTTTGTAATGAAGTTCTTTCAGTCGTAACCCATTGCTTGTATGTAATGCTTTCAATACATTTATCATCAAAATTTTCTTCCAGTTGATTAATAATATTGGACACGCCAGGGCACTTGTCACAAGAATTTAAATAACATTCAGTAGATTTTTCTTCGCACACCATACGATTCAAACAATCCTTATAATCTTTTAATGGCTGCTGAGAGCCGTCTGTAATTGCTTTTAAATTTGCACCAGTTATAAGTAAATTAACGTTTTCACGTATAGGACATACACAAAGCGAATGGGTGCTGGAAGCTCCTGCCAGAACGCAGTATTTTGGTCGTAAGCTAGCAAATTTTGAAAAACTACATTTCATAGTTGGATATTTACATGTAAACACTTCATACAACTCCTTCAAATTATTTAGAATAAGTCGTTTTTGCATTTGTACCTTGCTATCATTCAATTTTATTGAGATATAATCTTTTTTGCCTGGCATTAACTAAGTATAATCATCAGACTGGTAGATGTCAATTATGGTGCTTACAACCTGTGGTTCTAGAGATGGATGATGCTTGGGACTTGGGTCGCTTAATATGCCTTTGTCTTTAGCAATATTTTTCGCTACACGGATCATGTGACGAGTTGCTGTGGGAAACTTTTCCTCAATTTTTTTATAAGACCAGTGTCTAAAAATTGTTAATATTTTAATTTTATGAGTTCTGTCATAAGAAGTATTAAAACTTTCTTGTAACGTTGTAATTATTGAAGCATCGTCGTCGTTATCTTCGAGATCATCGGGACCATCACCATCCAAATGAAGAATTTTTTTTTTAATTCCTAAAGCAATTTTTTTAGATTTATCTTTAGAATACCTTTTTTGTGTGATTTTTTTTAATTAATAGGTGAAGATCCTATGAGGCTCAATCCTTTGTTGAGATGATCCACGCGTTCATTCAGCAACGATGTATTTTCCCCCTATTGTCCAGAGGTACCTTCACTGCTGGCGACTTTTGCATCTGATTCTTCACTTGAAGAAACTTTCATGTTTTGCGACTAAAATGAAATTGCACTTGAAATATCGACGAAAAATTCAATAATACCCAAGCGGAAATAATTCTCATAAATAAGTGATAATAACTGATACTAGGATTATAAACAGTCCAGATTTGAGACTTAAATAATTTGTAATATGTGTTAGTATTAATTATAAACAGTTATTTACTTTTTTTTTCATTCATGATGATGATGAAAAAGAATCTATAACTGATTATAACTTTTATGACTTTTTTTAAGTTGAAACTTACTGTTTATGATATTTATTACTGATTATTATGAGATAAATAATTATGCAATAGATGAAAACTTATAATTTTTGTAAGTGTAAATTAATGGTAAATAAACTTTTTTTCCGTTATTTAACAAAAAATTAGAACCATATTTCACAAATGAAACATTTTTTTAAAAAGTTTAAAACTGATAAAAACTGTTTTAAACTTTTACTAACAGTACATAATAGATAATGATAATCATTAAATTTCATGCATAGTCTCTAATCTACACTTTAAAATCTGTTATTATCAGTTTTAAATTATTATCTTTTTGTAATAGTTGCTTATAACAATTGTGAGACAAAAAAATTTCCGCTTGGGTAATAAGCTAAACAGAGTTAAAAGAGTTCGCTCAGTAATGGAATAGTGCTGCTGTAACTATGCACTGGGTTACTCAGCTGATTTATGGAAACGAAAGGTTAGGTATCTCTGAACACAATAAAACTTGCCAAGCATTACACTTACCAATTCGAATTGTTCATTTTCATTCTTTCGTTCGTCTGCATTTTTTATCTTTCCAATTCGTACGCGGCACGAAGTACAAATTTTTTGTTCCAATGTCTCTGAAGAAATTCTTAAATTTAACGCTCGGAGTTGATTTTCGTTCACTTTTCTCAGTTCAGAAGCACTTATAGCATGATGTCTCAATTGAAAGGGATTAAAACATCGGTCAGATCTAATAATAGTACCTTGCAATGATCGTGCTTCTTTACGTGACATTTGTACACTGACATACAAAACGAAGCGGACACTTATGAATAAAGAATTCTATTACTTTAAACTTTAACGTGAGAAAGGAAATGCTTTGGCAGCAGACGAAAACCAGCGCAAAGCTGATCCGACAGCCAACGAACTTTTAGTTTAGTGAATGTACGGGTGTGGCGTGTAGATCACTATGGATTACGGATCTCACTTTAGGCGGACTTCCCCGCGAAATTTTAAAAATATGCTAAAATTTAAAAACCAATATTAAACCAAAAAACCATGCAAGAAACAATTATGAATGCTAAAAAACGAAGTTCCGAAAACAAAAATAATTTTCAAATATGAAGTAAATCCCACATGTCAAAGTTACGCACTGGATAGATTTTTTTTTAACGCTTGATAATAATTTTGTTTTCAATCAAGATTGGTTTTCTAACATGTCAGGAGATTCGATTCAAAATAAAATACCCATTAATTATTGTCTGT